AATTCCACGGAACGTGTCAACCTTCTAAGGGAAGAATACATGCAATATACTAACTATACTATATTATACCATAACTATCTAAAAAACGGCTGTAGATATGGTATTTTGGGGGGGTTATAAGTTTTAATATATTTTATATCTAACATCTAATATAATCAAAATCTTTATTTTGAATTTTAATAGGTTGTAATGATAACATTTGTTAATTTTATACAAACAAATCTTTTTGTGCAAATGTTCTTTCTTGGGTGTTATATTAAAAGCCCCGTTTCTTCTGGATAGTTATTAGCCGCCATCCACAACAATGCATTCTGTACAAGCAACCCACTGCCAATATAGTGGAGTTGTAGGCCACTCCAGCCTATATGAAATTGCCTTTATTAATGAGCGTGGCAATTTCATATCACTGGGTTGGAGTAGGAAGGACTGGCATAAAAGTAAAAGTGACCGGATCTTTATATGACAGAGGCTTCTTACTGATCATCAACTATAAACTGCATTCTGGTAAGTGGACATCAAGGAACGGGAGAAATAAATATGTTTAGTGTTGGGTTCAGCTTTGATTTAGTGCCTATGCTGTTTTTCTGCAGCACACTCACGCGACATGCTGGTTATATTAAGCGATAATGAATTAATTTATTTTAGAAAAGAGCTGCAAGTCACGTACTCATTGCCCTGCCATAGTCAGCAAATCATGGCAATGTCATTACGAGGCATGATGGAGGCTATTACATGTGACATAAATGGTGCATTCTGCTCTACAGACATTTATATGCAAAATCTGCAGACCTGCATTAAATCAGGGGCGCCTTTGCACATGAATCACTGAAAATTATGATCACTCAACATTATACAAGTTTTGGAGCTATACTAAACAGATCAAAAATAATTATATAAACAAGGTCACATAACAATAGAAACTATTATCAGACAGATAGAAGAAGAGAAAGTATGCAGATTATGACGTTATAGTGACATTAAAGTCATAATCCCGCCCATCTGCTGCTTTAAGAACTTACCTTATACGATGCCTCTTGATCTGATCATCATCTTCTCCCACTTGTATTCAGCAATCCCTCCAGCACTGGTGCCACTCTCCGATCCAGCACTGACTGCTGAGTCTTCTATGATCCACGGAGTCTGTGCGCGTGCATGCTGCGTGCATTGACTTACCCTGGGTCTCTCTTCTTCTCCCAGCTGAGGATCTCTGGTGCGCATGCGCCCGCCCCATCATCCTTCACGGCCGTTCGAGAATCTTCAGATCTTCTGACAGGAGCACGTGGCGGAGACACAGGTAAGTTATAACCTTTTTGGTAAGTTATTACCTTTTTGGTAATTTCTAAGCACTACATATGCCATTTTACATTGCTGACCGCAAGCGGCGATGATGTCGCATGTGAGGCATATCTTGTACTGGCTGTGCTCCCCAAAACTCTTCCTCTTCAGCACCTCTGTAGTTCAGAAGGCAGGTTCTGTGAATGGGTGCCACTTTAATGCATATTCATCAGGACATAGTGTATATGTGTCACTATGTCAAAGGAAGTAAATCCTCTGGGATTCTTAAAAAAGTACATTTCCAAACTTCAAGTCTATTCTGATTATTAGGAGTAGACTAGAACTAATGGAAATTCAATGTGGAAATATATTTATGATTTTGCATTTTGGACCATAGATACATTCGAAAGTTAATTCCACCCTGAGATTTACCATGTGAGCCTGCCGAGCTGTCTGGGGGGTCCCTTACCTGCCTCCCAGGGGATGCTACATCAACATTAATCAACTTTGTTCACAACTGAGGCAAGGCAAACTGTGCAAAGTGCAAAGCATTGTTCATGAGAATACACACTTGGGTGAGCTTCAGATGAAATATAATAGTGACCTTTTTAGTACTGCTGCAATCTTGCTACCTTATTTTTAGTTAAGAACAAATAGACAACATCACATCTATCAAAGATAGATGTGTCTAAATTCCCAGACATATTTTTAGTCCCAGTCTGGGCCTGCTCCATAACATATAGGGGGTTACCCACTAAGCTGTCGCAGGCAGCCGAGTGAATGAATAGCCGAGCCGAAGTGAAGTGAGCCGAACGCTGTTTGGTTATTCACTTCAGCCAAGTACGGCTGATTTCAGCCATACATTAGCTGGCTTCGGCTCCCTCTGGTTCAGCCAAACATGCTCACCATGTTCGGCTGAGCCAAAATGAAGAACACGTTCAACTCAGCCAATCCAACATCTGGATCGGCTGAGCCGTACCTCCAGCATTTCAATCGCTGCCATTCAGCCCTGTTCTCATAGGGGCAAAACAGCAGTGGGTTAATAGCCGAATGCCACCGAACAAGTTACAAGCAGAAGAAGAAAAAAAAAGGAAACATCCACTTAGGTCTTTTAGGAAAAGTTAGGAGCCCCCCCTCCCCCCCGAGTTAAAATAATAAGTAAAAAAAATTGTGTGGGCTCCCCTCAAAAGTCATACAGCTCTTTAAGTCTGGTAAGAATTTTAAGGAGGAACTCCACCTAAAAAAAAATGTGGGGTCCCCACTAAAATTCCCAACCAGACTCTTAATCTGGGCAGCAACCTGAAAGGGCAGGAAAGGGTGGGGCGAGCGAGCTGCCCCCCCCCCCTGCCATACCGGGCCGCATGCACTGAGAGGGAGCTCTTCCAGGGTCCCCCTTGAACAGCACCTTGTCCCCGTGCCGATGGGGACAAGGGCCTCTTTCCCACAAGCCCTAACCGGTTGGTTGTGGGGGGTCTGCGAGCAGGCGGGCTTATTTGCATCAGGGTACCCCCTTTAATAAAGGGGGCACCAAGATGCTGCCCCCCTTGTGAATGAGTAAGGGGTACTTGTACCCCTTCTCATTCACTAAAGGGTAACAGACTAAATAAAGAAACCAGACTTTAAGAAAAAAATCCTTTAATTGAAAAAAAAAAAATTGTTGACCTTTAATGAAAATAAAAATTCCCCAAAATTGCTCCACCGACGTAATCCAAAGGTCAATTATGATTTCCAGTGTTGTCCACGACAACGATGACTCGTCAAAATAAAAAACCCTGAAGCCCGCCGACCTGTCTGCACCCCACGAACTGCCACTGCAGAATGAACAATTTGACCTATGGCGGCAAAATGTAAATATATAGGCGGCGCTAGTGGTGACACCACCGCTGACTCCGCCTATCTGTTGACATTTTGCCAGCATATGTCAAACCGCTACTGCATGTGTCGGCAAAATGAAAACAAATGGGCGGAGTCGTCCCTGATGTCACGGCCGGCTCCGCCCATTTGTTGTCATGGCGTCCGGCTTTCTTTTATTTCGAGTCGTCGTCGTCGTTGTAGACAACGCTGGACGTCGTGATTGACCTTTGGATTACGTTGGTGGAGCAATTTTTGGGATTTTTATTTTTTTTTAAAGGACTTGTCAACAATTTTTGACTTTGGAGGTAACGAGCAAAATAACTGAGCCAAATACCATTTCAACATCGCAGGACCGAGGATCAGGTGAGTATTGTTAGTTTTTACCCCTAGACCAAAATGAGCACTTGACCCTTGCAATGCAGAGGGTCACCCCACTGCAAGGGTTAATTTTTAAAAATCTTCTTTAACAAAACAAAAGGGAGCAAATAAGAGAAGATTGTTGCCAGGAATCACATACACTTTATATACTGAACCAGATAACCTCATAAAAATCTCTTGGGGTTTCCCAAAAACACAGCACCCGGCACAGCAGCACATTGGCTGGGAAATGTGAAGAGGAGCAAGCTTGTGAGAAACAAAATTTTACAGCAGCTGATCCCTGGGTGAGAAATCTTCGCCAATTCACCAAATGTAGAGATTGGATCTTCAAGAACAGAGATGCAGTGGAAGGGATTTATCACAACTAAGTGAGCGAACACATAGCGGCGTTCGCTCACTTCTCGATCCTGTCACGGCTCTCTGCCGTGACAGGGAGGGGCTGGATTCCTCCCTCCCCGCTCCGATAGCGCCCACTACAAGGGTTAATAGATTTTTTTTTTCCCCTGGGGTTCTTCTTTAATGCAATTTATGGTGACCGCTGGTGACTTCAGATGAGCGCCAACGCATTGTGGGAAAAATCAACATGTCTGCATTTTTCCGCAATGCACTGCGACCCACCTCAATGCAGAGTTGCAGTGTGAACGAGGTGCCCTGTGAACGGGGTGCCCTGTTGGTGACCTGCATTGTTCTTGTGCAGAAAAACGCACATAAAAGGGAATAAACTAAGACTGGAGCAGACAGAATCTGCAGCAGCTTACACAGTAACCAATCCGCTTCTAGCTTTCATTTTCAAAGCCTATTGAACAAACTGAAGAGAGAAGCCAATTGGCTACTATGGACAGATGTGGCCGCTTAGCCTGTACAAAGCAATGGCAGGAGCCACAGCTGTCCGCCTGCATTGCGGAGACAGATGACCTCCTCTGGACACAAGCAGCTTCTGAACACAGGTGGAGAGCTGCAGCCGCACCTTTCTGCAACCACTTGTGATACCAGCCACAAGAATCTGCTGCCAGACCGCAGAGCCTGGTGTGAATGCGGCCTGAGCTTTGTAACATTTTTACTATAACCTGACAGGGTCATTTAAAGCAGCTGGTGTCACCAGCGAAAGCAAGATACAAAACTCATTATATAGGGGACACAGGCACAGTCACAGCCAGCCTGTCATAACTGGGGGTGACATGGGGTCACTTTTTTGTCACCTCATATAATACAGTGGATTTCATTATAGGGGACACAAGCACAGTCACAGCCAGCCTGTCATAACTGGAAGTGACATGGGGTCACTTGTTCTCACTGCATATAATGGAATGGAATTCATTATAGGGGACACAAGCACAGCCAGCCTGTCATGACTGGGGGTGACACGTGATCACTTTGTTGTCACTTCACATGGCAGGGTAGAATGGTTGTGTGTGGGGAAGAGGAGGGGGAGGAGACACACAGACACGTGACTCGTTCGCCTCCCCTCACACAGCGAGGACTGCTGACAGCCGTCACAACATCTAGTAAGTGGGCGTGTCTGTAGGGGGCGTATCTTCCCGCCTCGGCACGGCTGATACTGTTGTCGGTGAGGTGCCTAAGGAAAGGACCCGGCTTTACATGGGCCCGGCCTTACATGGGCCGCAGCAATGTTGAAGACTGAGCGGATTCTGCACCTGAAGACCCAGCGGGGCCGAACCCTGCGGGCCGTGAGGGAGCATTACCTGAGGGAGGACGTGAGCTGCAGGAGCCCGCTGTGTACAGACTGTGCCCGAGGTGAGAGGGCTTCTTCCATCCATGTCTACATTGTCTGCGTACACTTCCCGCCTTCTGTACAGAAGCTGCTGTTTGGGCATAGAAAAAAAAAAAGGAAGTGCCCCAAATGTATTTATTCTTCATGTATGCTCCAGTTCCATTAAGCTCTGTCCTGTTAAGGCGACCGGTCACTGGAGTCAGCTGGTTGTGTTATAAGTAGGTGGTCTCTGCACCGCCCACTTTAGGTCTGCAGGGTGCGTCTTGTTCAAGTAAGGTGCTCTGCCGAGTCCTCATCCCTGGGTTGCTGGAAGCCAAGGATCGGGGTGATGGGAGGTTATGTCCCTCGGACTTCTATGGACATAAGAGAGGTCAGTAATAAGAAAAAAAATCCAATAGAAAATCAAGGGTATTCCTCATCAATAATAGTAAGCGTGTCTACAAATGCTAGTTATGGGGTTAGTCCACCTATTCACAACAAATGAAAAGGTAAACTAAATGCCCTCCTCGCCCCCCGGTCCCTGTGCCCACGCCAGCCAGTACAAGGGCCCATTCACACCTATGCATTGGATGAAGTGCACGCTATTGTAATGCAACTACTGTGCATTACACTGTGGCAGGTGCATTGCATTGCCGCCTCGGTGCTGTTACATTAACCGCCTCGGTGCGGTTACATTATCGAGTCGGTACAACCGCCTCGCATCTGGTGTGAATGGGCTCTAATGGTTGCAGTTGTTCTTCTTTAACCACTTCTGGGCCGCAATACGTCTATAGACGGTGGACCGTTAAAGCTGTGCTGTAGCAGCCGTGTTCTTGGTGCCACTTTTAACAGCAGACGATTGCTGTTAATGTACAAGCAATCTGGCGTCTGTACAGCCGCCAGATCGTTTGTACCGAGCGGCGCCCGGGAGCGGCTCGGCAAGTCTTTACGAAATGATCACTCGACGTGTCACTCGTTACATTCTCCGGCTCTTAGAGCCAGGAGATGAAGCTGGGAAAGCAGATATCTGCTTCCTCAGCTTCTTTGGGGACCTTAGGCGACATTAGGAGCCCTGATGTCTCCATAAAGAGGACCTGTCACACCCTATCTGCTATTACATAGGGTGCTTGTTATCCCCTATGTGATGGCAATAGGGTTAGAGTAAAAAAAAAAATTGTTTGAAAATTATAAAAATTAAAGTAACATAAAAGAATAATAAAAAAATGTTTTTTAAGTCCCCACACCACCCTCCCCCCCGTGTGGACACACATACACACGCAAATTCGCGCCTACGTGCGAAAACGACAATTGCGCTACACATGTTACATATCGCCGCGACGTCGGAGTGAGAGCAATAATTCTAGGGCCATCAATCACTGTTAGCAGTAAAAGCGCTAAAATGTTCCCTATGAGAAAAAGCGTTTTAAATGTTCCCTATGGGAAAGTTTGGGTATTGACCTTTTTTGTGGCTTCACGGGCGAACGCAATTTTAAGGCTTGACGTGTTTGGTATCCATTTACCCGGCGTGACCCCATCTTTTATATTTCTCCAAAAAATTGGTTATTATATTATAGTATGTTTCTGTGCACTAAATTTTTATTTAGTTTATTTTTTCCTACAAATACTGGTCTGATATACATTTGCACAAAAGACGTGCACCATAAAAAATTGCAAATAGCATTTTTTTATTCTGCAGGGCCTCTGCTTTCAGAACATATATCATAGTTTGGGGGTCTGAAGCTGTTTTCAAGCCAAAAATTAATATTTTATCATTTGTGCGCAAATACTAGGAAAATGCCCCGGACAGTAAGTGGTGAAACCGACTATAAGGCCCCATTCACACATAGCAACATCCCTTTTGCAGCGGCCGGGATAGCGCGACTTTTGGGGCGATGTTCCAGCGACGGTAGCGCGACCTTCTCCGTCGGGCTCCATTAGAAAAAAGCAAAATCCGACGAAAAAAGGGTCCTGTAGAAGCGACTTGCGACGAGCGACGCGAAACATGGAGCTAAGACAGCTCCTTTTGAATATTATTAGCCGGCGACTTCTCCCGTCATCGTGCGGCAAAAATGCGCTATATCGTGGCGGAAATTGCGCAATATATTGCTACGTGTTAATGGGGCCTAAAGGAGCAAATAAGAGAAGTTTCATGTTGATTTTAGGTACAGATGCGCTATATCGTGGCGGAAATTGCGCAATATATTGCTACGTGTTAATGGGGCCTAAAGGAGCAAATAAGTTTCATGTTGATTTTAGGTACAGAGAGGGGAATTTATCAAAACCAGAGCAGACAAAATCTGGAGCAGTGGCCCATAGGAACCAATCAGCTTCTCTCTTCAGTTTTGCTCAGGTGAGATTTGAAAATGAACGAGAGAAGCTGATTGGTTGCCGTGCACAACTGCTCCAGATTTTGTCTGTTCCAGTTTTGATAAATTCCCCTCATTGTAATGAAAAGAATATCCGATTAGTTGCCCCATGTTAATGTACTTCACCCTTCCTTGTGCTTGCTAAAATAAGCTTGGTTTTCCTCAGGCTGTCTTCCCCCGGCTCACAACGAGGATATTGGCTGTGAAAGGAATTGCAGAGCAGCCAAAGTACACAGCATTTTGTTTGACAAGAAATTTGCATCCATTTGTTACAGAGCAACATTTGTGTTGTGGAAATATTAAAAAGGAAAATATTATGTTTATGCTGGATGGAGAAAGTGCATTGCTTGCATTCTTCCCTATTTAGGATCTGGAGCCGGCACGGATTTCTAACAACAACTATTCCGTAATTAGCCAACACTTTAATTTCATGAATTTTAGCCTCCAACTGACAAATTTGTAGCAATTGGCTTCCTGTGTGTAATTGTCAGATGTATGAACAAACGCCCAGCGTAATAAGATTCCGCCATCCTTTCCTTATTCTGTGCTGACTGCCTTAAGGGGAAAGCTGACCTCTATGGATGAAAGCAATAGCTTGTTTTTTTTCTATGAGGTCCACTATACCGGCACAATGATTTCATTCCGTTATGGAGCAGGGATGGATACATTTAAATAGGGGTTGATACGCCTTCAGTTAGGAGCCATTAGAGGTGTTTATACTATTCTACAGCAATGTGACAGATCACATTTATTATTTTTTTTCTGTTCGATATTTTAGTTGTTTATCCGAACCTAAAAGAAAAAAAGTGCACAAGATAGAAAGGGAAGAGCAAAACAAACCACAAGTAAGCCTTTTCCTCTTTCTGTTATGGAATTCCATGGTGCCAGGGAACGTGTATGTTCCCTATGGCAGTCACAGAGGATCAGCAGTTAAAGCAGACCTTCACTCTCCTTCTCGAGTTAAAGGGTAACGCCACTTTAACGGAAAAGTACTTTGAGAGTAAAATGTACTCTTCCCAATACTTAGTGTCGGCATGGGACACTGCAAGTGTCAGTTGCCGGCTCTAAAGATCGAGAGCTGAGTGATCACAAATCGCTGATCGCTCAGCTCACGGTCTTCTCCATGCAGAGAGAGGTGACCGCCACACGCAGGGATTCCCCTCTCTGTCCCTCCACTGCTCATTGGAGAAACGGAGGAGGCAAGCACAGCTGGATCTAGAGAGGCAGAGCCAGCTGTCAATCAGGTAGCGGGGTGGATCCTGACAATATTGTCGGGATCTTTCCTGGCTGCAGCATGGCTCTGCACTTTCAGCATATAACAGGCAGTAGCTCGCTAGATGCTGACTTTGGGTCACAGGAGTAAATGTACTTCTTTGATCCAAAAGAGAACTAAAGCAAAAAAATAAGTTTCACTTTAGTTCTCTTTTAAAAAGATAAAAATTAGAAAATCCTAAGGGTATCGCATATATGATTTTTCACACAAGCCTTTTTGCAATTTAATGTTATTAAAAATCACCTTTCGATTTAAAACTGTAGCCACTGGAATTGTCTCTACCTGTCAAAACAATGTAATGCAATATGGCGACCTGGAGGCGTATCGGACACAGTTGGTGTACGGAACACCCTTAGAAATGTCACTTCCTGCTTCTGCGATTGGCTGACTCCTATTCCCAGAAGTCTGCACTAAGATACAAGTATAATTTTTGGCATCCATTGCAATAGCAATTTAATTTTTAGAGAGTGACTCCCTAGGGGTTAATTAATACTAAAGGGATGCCGACACTGCACCTTTCTTCATTACCACACAGAGGGTAATTTATACAAAATCTGGAGCAGATTTGCACTGCAGCCAATCAGCTTCTCTTTCATTTTCAAATTTTACCTGACCAAACTGAAGAGAGACGCTGATTGGTTGCTATGGGCAACTGCTCCAGGATCTGTTTGCTCCAGTTTTTATAAATTCCTCGCAGAGTGTCCACCAGCTGATTATAATGAACCCAGACCCTCCCATTCGGGGATCAGTTTAGAAAGAACATGCTGCAAAAAACAGCCATTTCTTCAGATCAGAAACAGATAGGAAACTAGTAAAGTTGCAATGTGGACTGATCACCCAAAGAGGATTAATTATTTTGTATTTTTGGGGGGTTTGAATTAGTTTTCTTCAGATCAGAAACAGATAGGAAACTAGTAAAGTTGCAATGTGGACTGATCACCCTATAGCTTGATATAGATTACTGCTGCATACCATACAGCGTAGTGACCAATAGTAACAGAGGAGGTCCTCTTAGTGACCGCTATGGATAGCGCTGTACAGAACCTCAAGAATTCAAACAGAAGTCAACCGCACTCAAAAGCCCCGTATATAAACTTGGCTTTAGTGCAAAATCACATAAGTCAACAAGTCATTGTTTCGGGGCTGCGCAGGGTCCCTTCCTCAAGGTGGCACAGAGACAAATGCAATAAGTGATAAACAGATATATTCAATATAGATGCATTAGATCACTTATCTACTTGTATTTTGTGACTTTTTTTTTTT